AGGAGAGTTCGTACCCGCGCGGGCCGATGATGAGGATGTCCCTCTGGCGGAGCTGATCCGGAGGCGTAAGGTGCTGACGAGGGAGGACGATGTGTGAACAGGCTTAAGGCGAAAGAACCTGACATTCGAACCCATCAAAATTAGACAAAACAATAGAGATCAAACCGGCTCGTCACATAGATAGATTTACAAGGACCGTCTCCACAAATTTATCTGATGACCGTGACACCAACACATCACAGAGGCTTGGGGGCCCTGACCTGACAAGCCAGTCTATCGCTATCGACCAAACGCGCCGCGCCTTGCCATTCACCACCAACTCAAAAACCAAGAACGCTAACTATCTACCAGTCATCATCATCATCCTTCTTCGCCATGGCGTTCTTCCTCGCGAGCAGCGCATCTGCCAAGCTCCCGCCCAGGCTCGGCGTGGGCGTGCTGCTCCTGCTGCTATCCGACCCGTTCATGCTCATAGCCGAATCGCGGCCCTGCAGCGCGGCCGGCTTCCTTCCCGCCGCCGGGCGCTTGGCCGGGGGTTGCGGTGCGGCCGGCTTCGCGCGCGCCCCGTTCGCGGCTGCCGGCGGGGGCGGCGGGGGCCGAGGGGCCGGCACCGGCGCCGCTTCTTGCTCTTCGACGTACGCCGCCGGCACCCACGCCTGTCCCCCGGAAAGCTTCGCGAGCCACCAGCCTATTACGGATCGATCGGTTAGCATGGTACTGGGATGGACAGTTTAGGCGTTAAAAACTTACCGTTGTTCTCCTTCTGGACGATTTCGATCACTTGGCCCGCCTGAATGGACAGCTCATTTTCTCGTTGGCCGGCAAAATCGTACAGGACCTTGGCCATGATCTTTGGCTTCGCGGGGGGCGCGGCAGGGGGCGGAGGGGGAGGCGCGCGGACGGCCGACGAGTTGGACTTCTGCCGGGTGTGGGAGGGGATGCTAACGGACGCCGCCGCTGCCGCCGCCGCCGCCGGATGAGGTTGCGGGACTGGCCTTGATGTGGTCGCCGCGGAAGCGCCCGACGGCCGGGGCTGGGGCGTGCGGTTGACAGGAACCCTTGAGGGCCTGCCGCCCGGACCGCCGGGCTTGATCAGCTTGCCCCGGGTGATCGGCCTCGGGGGGACGGGCTTGCCCTTGGGCGTTGGCCGCGAGACCGAGTTTGGCGGCTCTCCCTGTTGTGTATGTACCGCGCCACTCTTGTAGAAATCATGCGGAGTCGGCGCGTCCTTTAGGACCTTGACGAGTTGCATTTTACCAGGCTTCTTTGCATACTCGATAGTGTCTCCAATTTTCAAGTTGAACCCGCCTGGCATTACCCTCTTCATCTGCGTGAACATCTCCGTTTTGAGAACACAGTTCAGCAGCGGATCAGCCTCTTGCTGTGACCCCACGCCCAGGGAGAACCAGTCGTCCCGCGCTGTGGATGTGCTAATGAACTTGATTGCCCCCAATGGGAAAGAACGCTCAAGTATGACCTGGGGCTGGTTGTTTTGGCCCATCACCAGAGCCACGACGTAAAACTTGTTGTTGGTGACCACAATGGTTCTGGGACTGGGCTTGCTGGACCGACCAAACTTTGCCTCGAGAACCTCACCACGGCAGGAGAAGACGGCTCGTTCGTTGTTCCCTAGCTGCATGCCGTTCCGCATCTGCGCTCCGGGGCCGGTGCTCGCGTTGATCCCGAGATAGTCGCCGAGGAAGCGCCGGGAGCCTAGTATACTCATCCGCCTGCGTTCTTTCCGGCCCTGGAGCACCCTGTGGCCATCGTCCCGGAGTTGGAGGTACTCAGCGCCGGTCCGCTTCTTCCTCCAGAACCGTTGGATACGCGTCGCAGACTCGGCCCTGTACGCGAGGTAGGCTCGCCACATACGCTGGATACGCGTCGCCATGTTGTGCCAGTACCGGTCTCGCATGTGCTCTAGCGCGAACAGGGTCTCGGGCGATTTGATAAAGGCCTTCGTCACGCCGAGCTGCCATTCCTCCTGGGGGATGCTCGTGTCCTTGAGGATCTGTTTAACGGCAGCTTCGTAGGAACCCTGCCAGGTGTACTCGCCAGCGTACGACGTCGCGGGAGAGAGCAAGAAGAACCGATCGACAAACTTTTCGAACGACTGGCGGTAGGCGAAGCCAGCACGCCGGATGCGTACGTTTTCTTGGAGACCCAGATACTTGATCTGGTGGAGAACATTAGGAACGTTGTACTCGGTCGGCGACTTGTTCTCGTTGGGCTTGATGGTTCGGATGTAGGAAGGTTGGCATTTCATTAGTGTCTCCACCAACGCGTTGGCAGAAGTCTTGATCCTGTCGCCCGCTGAAGGAGGTTGCTTCCGGTTGTCCTGGTCCACCTGTTGGGGGAAGATATCGTGGAGGAACTTGTTCTGGCTGCCCTGGACGAGATTGAGGATGCCCTTCAGAAGCTGATCCTTGTTCTTATCCGTGATACCGTCGACTGTGTACGTGACGTCGCCGGCGTAGTGCTTAATGATAAAGTTACCCTGTCGAGGGGTCAGGTGGGGATTCGACATGCCATTGATGCTTTGCATGAATGTGCGATCGCAAGCAGCGGGGTCCGCATGGGCCGTCTTGGTCGCATCCTTCATGGCGGAGAAGACACCGGGCGGCCTGACGGACTCGATCAGGTCGCACACGATCTTGTTGTCGAAGTAGGAAATAGGGGTCCACTTGATTTGCTCCCGCGCGTACTCGTCTTGTTCCGCTTTCAGGGTCAACTGGATGAAGATCTGTTGCAGCTTCTCGTTCACATAGTTGATACACAGCTGCTCGAAGCTGTTCTTCTCGAAAATCTCGAAACCGTAAATGTCCAAAATACCGATCGAGTTGGCGGCAGCCTGCCGCGCCCTCAGAGACTGGTTTACTCGTTCCACGATCCAGTCGAATAGGTTGTAGTAGATGGCCTTGGCGAGAGCGTCTCTGGTCGCTGTCGCTTGGGCCACGTTGGCGGGGGACTCGATCACCTCCCCGTTCCTCGGTGTGAGAACGCGGATCGTGATGGCGTGGACGAGGCGGGCCGGGTCGACTTCGAGGAGGTAAGCCAAGAAATCCACAACCGACTGATCCGACACAGCCGCATATCCGTTATCATCCTCGCGGAAGACGAGGTTACCGGTCCAAAGGATGGCGGCCAGCATCCGGAAGATGTTGTCCTGCTCTGCCTGCGAGAGTCCAATAACCTTCATGGCATTAAGCGTATCCTGGTATTCGGCCAAGTCGTCGATCCCGTCGACGTTGAAGCACTTGGACCTGCTGGTGTAGATGTACGTCTCGGGCTTCTGGATACCAAAGGTCTCGCGGTAATGTTGCGACGCTCCCTTGGTGAACTGGTAGAAGATGTGGAAGTTGCGCTCGTTGACAATCTGGCCCACCACCCGCGACTTCTCGAGAAGGTAGTTTGTGATGTCGGCGCCGACCGGCTCGCCCTGGGCGTTGAAGTGAATCTGTAGATACTTGCCGAAGCGTGACGAGTTGTTGTTCCGCAGCGTCTTCGCGTTGCCAAACGATTCGAGCAAGGGGTTAGTAGCTAATACCATGTCCTTGATTTGCTGAATATCACCCGTCTCGCCTCCCCCCGACACATTGGCGATGTACTGCATAATGCGCTTGGCCGCCTCGGTCTTGCCGGCACCGGACTCGCCCGAGATAATCACGCACTGGTTCTCCTTGTACGCTTTCATGTTGTAATAGGCGGACTCGGCAATGGCGAAGACGTGTGGGGGCATCTCCAGACGGTTCTTCCCCCGGTAGCTGTCGAGGACCTGGTCGGTGTAGATGCCGAGGTCGCGAAAGGGGTTGACGGAAACCAAGACATGGCCAATGTAGGTGTAGATCTCGGCGCCCTCGAAACGCTTCTTCAGATTCTCGTTGATGGCCTCGTTAGACACCGTCCGCAGCAGCGTCAAGTCCGACACGCCAATCTCCTTCTTTTTTGTAGTATCGAACGTTGCCTTCTTGGGCTTGCTTGAGCCGCCGCCCCCGCCGCCAGAGCGCTCGGCCCGCGCGGCCTTATCTTTTGCACGTCGAGTGATACCCTGTGTTTTAGGGCGCCGTCAGCGATGCCCACTCTCGTATCCGGGGCCGAACACCGGGCGCCGGGCGCCGGGTCCGGACGGGGTGTCGTCCTGAAAGGGGGTGGTGCTCACCATGGTGGGTCTATCATGCGCGTGCTCTTCGAAATACCAGCAATTAAATTGATTTTACGGGCCAGCAACCTAGTCTGCAAAGGTTGCGGTTCGAGGGGTTGTGGGAGGTGGTGAATGGGCTGGCAGCACAATGTTCTGGCGGCGAGGTGTTTGTGTTTGTTTCTGGCATCTACAGTGCCTGCGGCAATGTTCCCGTTCCTTTCAGAGCCCTGGAGGTAATCCCTGGGGCTAATGGTGCCTGATGGTTCTCCTTGCAGGATGGAGCCCCTTCTGCGAAGTGACGAAAGGCCGCCAAAAAATTGGTGGGGCAAGCCTGACTGCGGGCAGCTGGGGCCTGAGGGCGTTGCCATTCAAGGTACAAGCCAATCAAAGCACTTCTGACCTCTGACAGCCCCACCAGAGCATGCGTCAGTTGCGCTCAGCCACAACTGTCGGAGGGGCCGCCGCGCAAGCCTCTGGAATGACAAACCAGGCATCGCCCAGGACGAGAGCAGCTGTTCTCTCCAGCCACGACCGCGCTCTTTCTCGACAACCTGTGGCTAATGCCAATTTGCGTGTCCTCACTCCCGTCCTTAACCTCAAGGTTACAATTCTGAATACTTGGAGCTACGGGGTGAGTCCGTTGAAGCTCCAGATGCCATCCAGCGCCGTGAACAACGGACCAGGCACCCGACGTGAACCCAAAAACAAAAGAGCAACAGAAACGAGGGTCGTTGAGAGCATTTATACCAAGACGGCGGCCGGGCTGAGCGCCTTTGCTGGCTGGCTTGGTGTCTGTCTGAGAAGACGCAAAAATCGTACGATTCCCCACGTGCGGCGCGACCCGGATCGTCCAGGGCAGCCCTTTGGCCAGGATGGTGTGCAGACAGATGCAGGTGGTCACAAACAACCTTATTTAAGACCATGTCTTTTCAGATGAGATCGGCTTGACAACAAACTTTGAGATTGTGAATACATCGAGCCGTCGTTGTTCTTGTCGTCGTCTGCCCGTTCTGCGGTTCAGTTGGTAGGGAGCCAGGTGGTCCATCACGGTCCCGCTTAACCTCCACAATGGACAGACTCGCCCTCCCTCGACCCAAGCACCCCCTCGCATACCCCTTCTTCCACAAGAGCACACAGGCACAGCGACCTCCGCCTGCCGTCACAGCCGTTCGTGTTCTTGCTTTCAGCCTGCGACTGGATTTTCCGGGATTCTCGGTTTCACAAAAGATCTGGAGCCGGGATGGCAATGGCGCGGCGTTGAGAGTATGAGCAGCCGACTGCGACACTAGTTACAGAGAATCACAACCTGCGGCGCATCCCGAGTTTCTGATAGCCGCTGATGCCTGCATTCTGTTTCTCGACAATCAACATGGCATTTCTTCGAAGCTTGAGAGCGCTGGATCTTGTTTCCGCGCCCGGCAGTAACCCGAAGTGGATGTCCCCCCACGGCGTGCCCGTCATCAGATGCTTTGTTTCGTATCCTGGAAGTCCGTGCCTCCCTCGAACATGTCTGAAATCACTAGCCTCTGCATTCTATGTATGGATACATTATCTAGTCAAATGAAGCAAGCTTTTCGCGTAATCCCGGCCGAGACATGGTGTCGGCAAGTATTCCAATTGGAAGCCAACGCAGCATTTCATCCTCGAGGCTCGTCGTTATTGGGGACATGGCTTGCCCACACGAGACTTGAGATCGATGATACTCCGGACAGATTGCACCGTTTTATTTGTCTCATGTTGCGCAATGTCTCGGACCCATTCACTCCATTCCATAAGCCGAGCCAGGTTGATGAGAGAAGCATCAGACTACCTCGTCTACATCGTCAACACGGCATCTCGGGAATCCGGCGTTGTTGGGGGAGAGTCAGCCCACCTAGCAACTGTATGGGCTGACCGCCGGAAATACGACTTTGACCCTAGGGCGGTGGCCGGGTGGTGATAGCTTTTGGAGTTGAGACGGCCAAGCCTGCGGGCAGTCATTTGCCCACTTCATTGTGTACCCTCGAGGGGAGGTGAAGTGCGAATGTCGATGCGGAAATGCAGCTTGCCGAGACAAGCCCGTGTGAAGTGCAGCCGGGGTCGCGCAACACCGGCGCTAACCCGCATTAGGCAGAGTCGAGCAAGGTGCTCGTCGCACATTGAGATTTTATTGGTTTGAATTGCCCGTCTCCCGGACGCTACTTCCAAATCCGCCTAGCGTGCCACGGCATTTTTGCTGGAACAAATCCAGAGCTCGAGGCCCTGATCTTTAAGCGCCAGGAGGTCTTGGCTGCCGATAGCATGTGCCTTGCCCCAGGCATGGCACCCCTGGCTATTCTTAGTCGAGGGCCGCCGCCTCGCCGTTAACGACCGAAACCTCGACCTGACCTATCTCTCTCGACTCTCACCTATTCCCTTCGCCGCAATACCCCATGGGATTGTCACGATGTTAATCACCTCGGATTGAAGATTGAAAAATTTCCATATTTTTTTCTGTCTCGCAGGCCCTTACCTGTCTTCCCCGTTGCGACTTAGTTATTCGGTGCACTTTGATTCCACTACGGACCCCTGCCCAGACGAAACACCAAAGGTCGCCTCCAGCAACCCCTCGGTCAAAGCGGCTCTAACATCTGTCGTCTCAACTTACTCGCATTGCCTAACGGAAATTCCCATCTGTCTGATAGCGACGCTCTGTTGGGCCCAGAAACCTGACACAGACCTCTCAACCGCGAAACCGTCTCCAACGTCTGATCTTCCCACCATATTCGCCCTTGTCTTGCCCCGTCCCTGTCGCCCCATCAGGACACGACCGTCGCCACGCGGAAGGGGCGAAAGCTAGGAAGAAAGAACCCTTTCCAAACCCACACCACAGAGTCTGGAAGTTTCAAGCCCCCCCCTGCGATCCATCAGAACGGCTCGAGTCCTTGCACAACACGACAGGGAGATCCGTGGAGAGACGGAGGAAGTGAAAGGGCACGGCTTTGCTGCCGTTGCATCCGGGCCCCTACCGTCCCTTGTACCTTGTCCGCATCCGTGTTGCGCAGTGTGGGTGGGAGAGGGCGTTGCATCATCTGGTTTCCCGTCCTCGGCGCGCGCTGGAGCCGGTCGCTTATGACCAGGCTCCCGCCACTCATTACCTCGTCCCTCGCCCGTTCTTCTGTCCCTTCTCTTCCTGTCCCTCACTTGGCGAGGTAAAGAACCGGGACCTCTTCAACGAGTGCCTCTCGTCTCCGTCCTTCCTTTCTTCAGCTGCTGGCTCAGACCACTCTTTTGTTTTCGCTTCTTCGGGCTTCTAGCCTCGGTTCCGTTGTTTGTGTCGTCGCTGTCGCCGGGTTCGATTCGTCTTTGTTTGTTTTGGATAGTACGACGACTTGATAAGTCTTAATACCGAGAGGGGCAAGAGATTGGACATCCGAGACTGAGCCGCCATCCTTCCCACCGCCCCACAACCAGTTCGATTGCCCACGAGGCCACCTTCCACACAACATCCCGGGACCGGCTCGAGCCGAAGGAGTCGACGGCATCCTAGTCGCAGGTCGACATTTGATATACCGTGTACCGTACGGGGATAAGAGGGGGAACCAGTCGGCAAGATGGCGTTCCTCACATTGCTGAAGAAGCAGTTCACGCCAACCAAACTGCTCTTCCATTTCCTTTTTTGGGTATTCCACTGGGGCATCTTCGCCTATGGATGGTACGCACTCCCTCGGGTGCGAATTGTGGCGTGGAGTTATTGTCTGAATCATGGCTGATACATGAGACGTGCAGGTGGAAGCAAGCGGCCGATCCGCGCCTAGCGGGTCTCAACACACTTCAGTACTCCGTGTGGATGTCACGAGGTGCTGGTTTGGTGCTGAGCGTGGACGGGATGCTTATTCTGCTCCCTGTCTGCAGAACCATCATGCGGTTCATCCGACCCAAAATCAGATTCATCCCGCTGGATGAAAACATTTGGATGCACCGGCAGCTCGCCTATTCGATGCTGCTGTTCACCATCATCCACACGACTTCGCATTATGTCAAGTAGGTTGCATCACCTATCCAGCAGACTCCTTTTTTAAATTAACAACGGCCCAGCTTCTACAATGTTGAGAAGGGCCAAGTTCGCCCAGTGACGGCGGTGCAAATCCACTACGTCCAGCCCGGTGGTATTACCGGTCACGTCATGCTCCTGTGCATGCTCCTGATGTACACAACAGCGCACCATCGTATCAGACAGCAATCTTTCGAGACGTTTTGGTACATGCACCACCTCTTTATTCCTTTTTTCCTCGCTCTGTACACGCACACGGTTGGCTGTTTCGTCCGAGACACGGCCGAAGGATACTCTCCGTTTGCGGGCGATGAGTACTGGACGCATTGTATCGGTTATCTTGGCTGGAGATGGGAACTGTGGACCGGTGCCTTCTATCTCCTCGAGCGGCTGTACCGCGAGATCCGCGCCATGCGTGAGACCAAGATCACCCGCGTTATCAGGCATCCTTACGGTAAGCAAATCCCCGAACGTTTGACAAGAATTATGACATCTAACATTTTCCAGACGTGGTTGAGATCCAGTTCAACAAGCCGTCATTCAAGTACAAGGCCGGCCAATGGCTCTTCCTTCAGGTGCCTGAAGTGTCTAAGTATCAATGGCACCCGTTCACCATCACATCTTGCCCTTACGACCCCTACGTCTCGGTCCATATCCGACAAGTGGGTGACTTCACCCGGGCGCTCGGAGACAGAGTGGGTGCCGGCGCGGCGCAAAGCAAGCTCTACGAAGGCGTCGACCCCATGGGCATGTACGAAGTGGCGCTCCAGAACGGTCAGGCGATGCCGTCGCTCCGCATCGACGGACCGTATGGTGCTCCGGCCGAGGATGTGTTCGAGAACGAAATTGCGGTGCTGATCGGGACGGGTATCGGTGTCACGCCGTGGGCTTCCATTCTCAAGAACATCTGGCACTTGAGGAATGGGCCGAACCCGCCGACTCGGCTGCGCCGTGTCGAGTTCATCTGGGTGTGCAAGGACACCAGCTCATTCGAGTGGTTCCAGACGTTGCTCTCATCCCTGGAGCAGCAGTCTAGCGAAGCCGCTCGCGTCCCCGGCTCGAGTGGCATTGAGTTCCTCAAGATCCACACCTACCTCACGCAGAAGCTCGACATGGATACCACGCAAAATATTGTGCTCAACAGTGTCGGCGCCGACTTGGATCCGCTCACCGAGTTGAAGGCTCGGACGAACTTTGGCCGCCCCAACTTCGGCAAGCTCTTCACGGGCATGCGCGACGGTATCCTAGACCGGACCTACCTGAACGGCCTAGAGGGCAACATGAGGACCACCGTGGGTGTGTATTTCTGCGGTCCCTCGGCAGCTGGTAAGTGCTTGATCCACCTCACCCCTGTACCACGAGCATCGCCGCTAACATTGAAACAGCTCGCGACATCCACAAGGCGGCAAAGGAAGCTACCGTTCGCGAAGTCCGTTTCCGCTTCTGGAAGGAACACTTCTAATTGTACATATTTTGATAATTTACGCCCAACTTCTTCACTCCCTGGGAAGAGCCGGTGGCGATGCTTGGGGTTATCTCAGCCACCAACAAACCAAATCACACCGATTCCTACCTTGCAACTTTTTCCGCCAAGGGATATGGTGATAGGGGCCGAGGAGTTGCCATTTTACGGGGAGGGTGGACGATACCAGGAGAGGAATTCTGCGCCAGTTTTTACACTCACTAGGCGAAGCTGTACTGAGACGGGCTCAGTCGGTTATATAACGTCAGAAAAGTTGCCGCACTTCCGTTAAGGGGAGATGCGGTTATGGGGATGCTACGGGGGGCCGTCTTCATTTTTTTTCCCATTCCTGTTTATGTTTGGATATACCATGGAGTATAAACTCTAGCTACTACATAACTACCTGCATATTTGCCAAATACATCGAATTTTATCGACGAAACGGTCTTGACTTTCATCGGACCACCACGCGAGGCCGGCTAGAAACTAGTGAGCTAGAGGCTGACGAGCAGCACCTGGGCGGCGGAGAGACCGAAACCGAACACGGCTGTGAATTTCTTGGCCGAACTAAGAGTGCTTGACAACCGGCACGGACATGACGACTTCCTCCTTCTTTCCCGTCTGTGCCGCCCTCGCCAAAGTAAGCTTGAAATTCGAAGGGGCCAATGGAATGCCGTGAGCAAGCGTGGCGCGGCCTGGGTGGCGGGCCGGCGGGTCCTGACACATGCGGCGCTTCGTGTCGCAGGGTTGGGACCGCCTTGTGGGAATGCACATGTCCCCGTCGTGTTTTGTGCTGGTTCGGCAGGTGGATGATGGGATGATAGAGTTGGGAGCGGATCAGGGCGTTCGTTCTGTTGAGGAGTGTGTGTGGGTTCTCTTTTTCATCCTATGATTGATAGGTAGCTATCACGTTCCGTGGCCTGGTTGAACTGAATTAAATGTTTGGTATTCTACAAGGTCATATATAGCCTCCCTATTAAGCTGAGACAGCATGTAATGCTAGATAGAGCCTCAGCGTCACATGTGTTGGTCGTGAACAGGAACAGATCTGCTGTTACCTGTCCAGATCATCATCACTCAGTCCGTCCTCTGCTGCGTCATACTCTCCCGACTCAGATCCCCCCGAACCATCGGCTTGATAAGACGCGACGCTGGGTGTTTGCGGGCGGATATCCTCCACGCTGCCGTCCGGGTCCGCCTCGACCAGGACCTGCGAACTCTCTTCCTCTCCATATCCTTCATTATCCTCTCCATATTCTCCATTATCCGACGTGGTCTTGACGTCGTCGGCGAATACCACCGTTTTGGCGGCGGGCGGTTTCACTTCGGGCTCCAGCACGTCTCCGCTCCAGGGCCTGCATTCCTTGACCAGTTCGCCGCATCGCAGACAGGACCACCCTTCGCCTTCCTCCCTTTCTATCCGTGTCGTTAGGCAGACGAAGCAGTAGATACATCCGCACGGGATGGTTGCGTAGGGGTTTGTGATGTCCGTCTGCGCCGAGCCGACAACGCCGCTCGAGGTTGCGGCCATGAGGTCGTTCTCGCTAGACACTGAGTTTTGGTCTTGATAGCAGATGGCGCATGTCCGTTCTGGTAGGAAGGAATATTCGCCCTTCTTCTCGTCGGCGCCCTCAGCACCCGTAGTCATGATCTTCTTTGTCTTGCGCCATGTCCGTGCCAGCCACCGCCTCCACCGGTTAATGCCCACCAAGGGCAGCACGAAAAGCAGAAATTCGGTAAAAGCGTGCCACACGAGCTGCCGGTTGAGATACTCGAACGACACCTCCCGACTGACCTGACTGGTCGGCGGAGCCAGGCGCATCCGCAGCACCCGGTCCAGCAGCGTCCTGTACCTCCCATGCAACAAGAACACGAGGAAGGAGGCAAACGCCGCGGACGCGTGCATGGTCGACAGCATCGAGCTCCACCTCGCGAGCCTCTGCGCGCCCGGACTCGGCCCCTGGAACCCATCGTCCTGCTCCAGCAACCAATCCTCCCACTTCGCCCACAAATACCTCCCCCCCACCGTCACCAGCCCATACAACGACTTTTGCCACTTACTCGGCGGCACCAGCCCCGGCCCATCACGCCTCGCATCGGTATACCTCAAATTCTGCAGCGCCGCCCCGTACGTCGCGTCATGGTCCCACACCGTCAACTTAAACAACACAGCCCTCAACACCAACGAAACCTCCGCCTCCCAATCATGCAACACCGCACTCCCCCCAGCACCACCAGCACCTCCCCCCCCACCCCCCACCCCACCCCCCACATACCGCAACGCATCCCCCACCTGGCCCCTCAACAACCCGACCAGCTCCTCATCCAGCAACTCGGCATCCACCTGGCCGACCCGGAACGCGGGGCGCGTGCCCTCGCGGCCCGAGATGGCGTCCCACAGCGAAAGAGTCGACGTGCCCAGCCGCCGGAGCAGTGGTGACTGGGCGGCGGCGATGCGCGTGCGCAGTTGCGAGGCGGACTGTTGCGCTGCGTGGCGCGCGGCCGCGTCGGCTTCGAGGGTGGCGCGTCGGGCGGCGAGGCGAAGTTGCGCGAGGGCGAAGGTGTTGGGGTTGGGGTTGGTATTGGGGGTGGTGGTTGTGGTTGGGGGGGTCGTGATGGGGTTGGGATTGGGAGTCGGAGTTGGATTGGGGATGGGGGCGGTGGGTTTGGCGGTGGTGTTGTTGATGGTAGAGGGAGTTGTGGTGGTGGTGGTCGCGATGCTGCCGCCGTTCGGGGTGTTTCCCTTCCCCTTTGGACTTGGGTCGCTCATCGTATCGGAGTTGTTGGTCTTGAGCCCGGTGAAGCCTCTCCTCGGGGGTTGAAGGGCATTGTTGGGTTGGTTGCTCGGGATGGCAAGGTCGCGGGTGCTCGGTCGGTTGATGAATGGGACGGGCCCAGCGCGAGAACCGGGGAGCCGAGGTTGGTTGCAGCTGAAAGCCGGCCCGTTCGCTTGGCGGTCCGGGGTGCAGACCCGCTTATCCACTTACCTTATCCAGATGTAAAAGGAGTAACTAACTAACTAGTTAACTAAATTGTACTTCATACCTGCATTTTATGGACGATGCCCTCTCTCTTTCTAAATTCAGATAACAGTCTGGCGCCCATCGAGCGGACTATGACTAGGCCCCGCCCAGTAAGTCGGAGGGAATGCAACCCTTGGAACCGCCGAGAAATGCAGTTCCTTCCATCCTTGCTTTCATATCTGGATCGCCAGAGCACATGCCACCGCCATGGCCCGAGGCCACGCATTGCGACTGCAAGATGGATCGTTTCCTTCAACAACAGGAACGGTAAGGGACCTAAGGGACTGGCCCCGGTCGTTGCTAGCTGTTTCAAGTCGCCTCGAATCGGGCTCTTTTTGTCAACGCACCTTCCCAGACAACCCATTAGTCGATATCCGCATCATTTTTGGTTAGGCTGCTTATAACTCTGGCTGTCGTTCTTCAATCACTTAACTAATTATCTTATCCCCTGGGCCAGCTTGGCCATTCTTCTTTCTGTTTCTTATAAGAGACCTAACGGCTTGGCTTATCATCGAATGCTCTCCGGATGACGCCGAGGACCTCGATGCCAACACCAGCTTCTTCAACCAGGCGCAGAAGTTCACCGAAAGCGGTCCCATCATATCCACGAACTCGTTGCTATAGAGGCAATAGGACACTACAGGCGCGAAACTTGATCCCGAGATGTCCCCGCGCATGTTGACCGTCTATAGGAGGCACTAAGTAGATATGCGGCGGGCTACGTCCTCCATACCGCGACCGTCTTAATTTTGGCGTGTCTGTTTACACAAATGGAATAAGGGGTGAAGCTGGAGTGTGCTGTGTGTACAAAACACCTGGTCAACCAGCCGCCAGTAGGCAAAATCGGCAGAGATTACAGATGAGCTAACTGGGCTTCCATGACTCAACTTTGGCTCCGGTTGAAAATAAAGTAAGATAAAATAAAAAGAAGCAAAAAGGACCAAAGATGCAATTAACTATAGATTAGACAACTTGTTATTTTGTATTCAATGAAGGCATCCTGATGTGCCTGGCGTCGAAACTTGGCGGCCTGCTGTGGGAGTGGGTCCATCTGCCCCTCCATCCGCTGTGAGCTTGAACCCCACCACCTTCCTGCAGCCCAATGGAAGGTTCATCAAGTGAAGACACCAACTCGATCTGCGGCATAGGTATTTGTTGACGACGCCGAGGGCCCTAGAGGTCGCCGTCAAGTCCCTCCATCGTTTACTTTTCACATTTCTACGCCAGCTACAGCTCTTGCTACCGAGATCGCGCCGATTCATACATGCTCCTCCTCCTCCAAACGGCGGGATGAGCTTCGCAATCGAAGTCGCTGGCGAGGCCGCCCCGCTAAATCAGTGGGAGCTGGTGAAGGCGCTCTCCAGTGCCGGCACTTCGACCGACCATTCCCAGAGGCAGTCGGCTGGCCAGCAGCTTCAGACATGGGAATCCCACCCGGATTATTACACCCATCTCCAGGTAACTTTTAACTTTGCGCTCCTCCCTGCCGGGGGACGGGGCATCGAGGTTTCTGCAAAAAGGTTCCTTTCGCTGATTCGAGCGGGCCTTCCCCTCTACAGACAATTTACCTCGACACAACCCATGACAAACAAGTCCGTTTTCTCGCCATCATTCTCCTCAGAAATGGCATCGACAAATACTGGAGGCATCAGCAGAACGCGGCCAAGAACTCCATCAGGCCCGACAACAAACGGGCGATACGGTCGCGACTACTACAGGGCTCGCTCGGGGAGGAAGATAGGACCCTAGCGCTGCACAACGCGCTCGTCACCGCCAAGATCGTTCGGATAGACTACCCGGACGAGTGGCCCGATGCCTTTTCCACCCTCATCGAGCTGACCAAGTCGTCCAATGCATCGAACCCGCTGCAGCTGCGCGGTGCCTTACTGGTGCTCCTCCGCATCGTCAAGGAGATGAGCACGGCCCGGCTGCGTAAGTCACAGACCGCCCTGCAGGCCGTTACGCCGGAGCTCGTGCAGGTGCTCGGCAGCATATATACGGAGAAGACGGCATATTGGCAAGAGTTGTGGATGAAGGGCCGCGGCGACGATGCCACGGTGGGGTTCGCCGTCGAGAACAGCCTAATGGCGCTCAAGGTTCTACGGAGGCTGGTCACTGTCGGCTACGAGCAACCCCATGCCGACGCCATGGTTTGCGGCTTCTGGTCTTTGTCACAGTCCCAGTTCGACCAGTTTCTCAGTGGTGTCAGCCAGGACTCGTGGGTTCCGGCTCCCTATCAAGACATGGTCGGCAAGCACCTCATCCAGTTTACCAAACTCCATATCGATATGTCTGAGACGCACCCGGCTAGCTTCCCCGTGCTCCCGGACTCGATTCCTCTGGTCAAGGCGTACTGGAGCCTCATCAAAGGATTCTCGGAAGTATTTGATAAGTCGGGCGGGATCAGGCAGACTTCGGGCGGGGCCGCCGGTGGAAACGCAAGACACGAAGGGCCCCTGTATGAGAAGCTCGCGCTCAAGGGTCTGTTGCTCTTGAGAAGCTGCCTAGCCATCGCGCACCAACCGGTGCAGACTTTCAAGTTTCGGAGCCCAGAGGTCAAGGAGCTAGAAAAGCAAGCTGTACATACCCTCAAGGTGGAGCTCCTGTCGAGAGACATGCTCCTTGACATGCTGCAGGTCATAGTCAGCAAACTGTTCATTTTCCGCAAATCTGACCTCGAGGCCTGGGAGGAGGACCCGGAAGGGTGGGAGGCGCAAGAGAGAACCGAAGGCCAGGCATACGAGTGGGCGGTCCGTCCTTGCGCCGAGAGGCTGCTTCTCGACCTCCTCACGCACTACAAGGAACTTGGCGAGCCACTGCTCGCGTATTGCGACCTCGCCACCAAGGTTGAGATGGACATCATCACGAAGGAGGCTGCCTACTGCGCCTTGGGCTGCGCAGCCGCTATCATATACCAAAAATTCGACTTTGACCGCTTCCTAACCAACTTCCTGGTTAAGGATGCTCAGATTGAGGCCCCGATGGCGAAAATCCTCCGCCGTCGGATAGCCATCTTGATCAGCCAGTGGATCACGGTCAAGGTTTCTCAGGCCAGCAGGCCAGTCGTGTACGACATCTACCGCCACCTGCTGAACATCGACAGCGGGCACAACGATGAGGTTGTCCGCATCACGGCGGCGCGGCAGCTCAAGTACGTAGCCGACGACTTTGAGTTCACCGGAGAGGCCTTTTACCCTTATGCGGCCGACACCTTCAACCTCCTGGTCCATCTCCTCAATGAAGTGGAGAACGACGAAACGAGGCTGGCGGTTCTCGAAACGGTCCGAGCGGTCGTGACACGGATGGAGACTCACGTATCGCAGTTTGGAGACGCCATAATGGTGACGCTTCCCCAACTGTGGGAGTCTGCTGCCAGTGAGGAGTACATGATCAAACAGTCGGTGCTCGCCATCATGTCGGCCTTGGTTTCGTCCATGCGCGCCGAGTCGCAGCGGTACCTCGGCGTTATCATCCCGCTGCTTCGCGACGCGATGAATCCCCGAGTCGGCACTCCATCTGCACTTAATCGAGGAGTCGGTCGATCTGTGGAACGCAATCTTGACGCAGAGCTCACCGCCACTCAACCCAGACCTCACGCAGATGGTCCAACTGGCCCTCCCCCTCCTCGAGTACGAGTCAGCAGTGGCAAATCAGTGCTTAGAAATTACCAAAGACTACATCGTCCTGGCGCCGCAAGACATGCTGAGCGACGCCCTCCGGCGGCCAACCTTGACGGGACTGGCGAAGGCGCTGGACTCGTCGGTCCGGGACCAGTCAAAGCTCGGCGCGAAGTCGATCGAGCTCGTGATCCGCGTGGCCGAGGAGTTTGGTGGCGTTCAGGGCGTCTCGCTCGTCGCCCAGGACCTGCTCGAGATCGGCGTGCTGCGCCAAGTCCTCGAGGGGCTGCACAGCCGGTGGGAGGCCAGCCAGACGACGGGGCCCAACCGAAAGTCGAGCAAGATCAACACCATCAAGGAGGCCGACTACTTTGCCATCCTCGCGCGCATCGCCCTCGCCGACCCGGCCTTGCTCGTCCGCATGCTGACCAGCTTCGGCAGCCCCATCGACCAGGTCTGGGCCTGGCTGGGCACGCAGTGGTTCGCGCACTTCGACTGCGTCGCCGACGTCGACCGCCAGAAGCTCTCCTGCCTCGCCCTCACCCGCCTCTGCGAGCTGCCCGCCCCCGTCCAGGACCTCGCCCTCGCCCGCCTGCAGGACTACCTCTCCATGTGGACCAGCGTCGTCACCGAGCTGGCCGACGACGACGGCTCCGGCCAGCCCCTCGGCGCCCGCGACTCCCTCGTCTGGTCCGAGCCCGCCGGCTCCGAGTACGATACCCCGATCGATGTCCATGAGCGCGAGCTCGCCTTCAAGGACCCCGTCCATCGCGTGGTGACGTTTGAGTTTGTCCGCGCGCGCCTGGCCGATCTGGTCCAGCGCGCGGGGGGTGAGCAGGCGTTTGAGGCGGAGTGGGCGGCTAATGTGGATCGGGATGTGTTGGCGGGGTTTCAGCGGTTGAGTCAACCGGCTGAGCGGGTGAATGGGTGATGGTGGGGATGAGGATGTTGGGTGGGGGGGTGAAGAAATGAGAGATGGGGGTTGTATATGGATTGGAGACAATGCCAGGTAACGGAGTGCGTTGTGGCGTTACGTGAGAGGGGGGCTTCCTGTAGGCAAGTCAGCGTTTTTAAGCAGTCCTCGTCTTGGTGGTGTCTTATGAAGCTAGAGCCAGTTTCAGGCTTTTAGAAGGGGGCGTTGAGTGCGAGTCGTTGAGCTTTGGGTGCTGGCTTAACAACTAGAGTGGCTACTACAACATATTGAATATCAGAAACAGGGTACCTAGGGTGGTTGAGGCTACAGTGCCGACTTTTGCATGCTGAAGGTGTAGATGGCTGTCATGAGTGGTTAGAATACATAGGTATCATTAAATCCATGGCGTATTGCCGTTGGTGGTCTGCTTGAAGCTCCCTTGCCTGTCTTGTAAACAACATTTCTATAGTTAGTAGACCCTGTTACAGTAGAGACCGAAATCAGTGTCCAGATTTTCAATGTTCAAAGATTGTCAGTCAGGCCAGTTTTGGAAGTGATTGTGACTCACAGTGGGTGGCAGCCCACAGCGTAGAGTGACCAGACCAGTGAGCTGCAAAGCTGGCTGCAGCTGAAATGTCGCATGCACAAAATGCATTAACTAGCCGTTTTAGGCGCCGTTGGACGTGCGAAGTTGTATACAAATCATAAAAATATAACTAGTTATATACATACATAACCTTAGGTGAAGATGACAACCCGATAGATATACATAATTTGTGAGGGACGAGTAACATCTAGGCGAGGCACAAGGGCACTGCGTATGCTGACTCAATTCTGCTAATCGAAAGCTGAAGAAAGAGAGGAAAGATACAAGATAGCGCGTTGGCAACGCGAGAAGGCATGGCCAGAACGGAGCTAGTCCGGATGCGGAAGTGCACCTCCAACCCCAACCCTGGGTGCGCTTTCCGTCACAGTATTGTGCACTTGCAGGGTCGGTGACAATATGTCACGGTTATGGTCGCATAACTAAGCGGGACCGCGCTGGGAGCGGCATCGGCCAATCAGGGACGGATCGTGAAGAGGAATTCACCATCCCAGAGTAACCAGTAAGAACAGGATCGTTAGATAGATAAGACGATCCAGGAGCATAGGTACGAAGGTACCTCAGAGGCCGAGATAGTATATAGTCACTCGTTCTGGAGAGCTCTGGGAGTTCTCCAGTTAGCAATCACAACTACAGTTCGCTACAAGCTCGAGAGCCTACTGTTGAGACAAGTCTTTGTTGTGCACCTTTTGGCTGCACCGAACCTAAGCACCCTTGAGAGAATACCTTCAACCGAAGCTGAACCCTAACAGGACGGGTCCAGAGACAGGTTCGTCACAGAATACCTTTAAAAAAAGAAAAAAGGAAAAAGGAAAACCGGTATCTAGCTACTCCACTTAGCTACAGTGGCCAAGGACGACCGAGTGTATGGATGGTCTGCGCCAAGGATTCGCTGCTGAGCCTGAGCACAGTCCTCTATCAATGCCAAAGCATCTGTGTGTCGACCTTGACCTTTCCAAGTAAACGCAAGGTTGTTCATGCTCGTCAGCGTGTCTGGGTGGTCGGCCCCGAGCTTGGTCTTGCTCGTCTCCATCACCTGCACGTCCAGCTTCTCGGCCTCCTCCCACCGGCCCTGGTTCCAAAATGTCGATGCCAGGTTGGCCATGCTCATCAGCGTGGAAGGGTGGTCGGCCCCGAGCTTGGTCTTGCTCGTCTCCATCACCTGTACGTCCAGCTTCTCGGCCTCCTCCCACCGGCCCTGGTTCCTGTATGTCGATGCCAGGTTGGCCATGCTCGTCAGCGTGTCTGGGTGGTCGGCCCCGAGCTTGGTCTTGCTCGTCTCCATCACCTGCACGTCCAGCTTCTCGGCCTCCTCCCACCGGCCCTGGTTCCAAAATGTCGATGCCAGGTTGGCCATGCTCGTCAGCGTGTCTGGGTGGTCGGCCCCGAGCTTGGTCTTGCTCGTCTCCATCACCTGCACAAACAGCTTCTCGGCCTCCTCCCACTGGCCGCGGTCCATTTGGACCAGAGCAAATAGTGATATACTTGCAAGAGTCGCCATATTCTCTGCACCCAACTTTTTCTTGCGAACATTTCTCGCCTTGCCTAGCATCTGCTCTGCAACTTCATATCTCCCTTGCGACCATGCATACCATCCCCCGTTATGCAAAAGTGTCGCCCATATTTCGACTGTCTCTTCGCTGGGTTGGTAACCAAGGGCCACTTGAACGTGCGCGAAGAGACTCCAGCACTTCACCCAGTTCTCGTACTCCCCTGTCGGGAATGACGCTGCCATTTGCTCGATGAACTGCTGCTTGAACGTCTCCTGCTGCCGAAACGTTTCCAGCCACTTCCTCATCGACAGCTGCACGAGCCCATGCATCTCAAACTGGTCCCCCGCCTCATTCACGACGATAAGATCGTAGTCCCGTAATATTGCCACATCGTCTTCGAACCGACCGTCCATCTCGTCATCGCTGCTGTCGGATCCTGAGTCTTCTGCATCTTCGGAACCACTTGCTCGAGTTGCGGTTTTGGTCTGCTTAGAGGACTTTAGGAGCGACTCCGGAATGCCTTGTCGATCAAAGAAGCTCATAAGCGAAAGGAGATCCGCCGCAGAAGGCCGCTCGGACCGAATATGGTCAAAAGATATCTGCCATGTCGTGAGAATCGCGTTCGACGCGCCTCCATCCCGACGTAGGTCTCCAGCATCATGCTCTAAAAGCCTGCTCTTTTTGCGCTCAGTCTCCTGGCACTCAAGAAAGGTACTTCTCGAGAGAGCTTCGCGGTGCCCTTGCCTGTATGTAGGCGGCAGCCTGGCTGATGGCTAGCGGAATAAAGTCGAGCGCGCGTACAAGCTTGGCTGCCGCATCGGTATTCAGGATCGATCCCAGCTTCCTCTCCAGGAGCGTGAGGGCGTCCATCTGCACCATCGGTCCGACCTCGATGATGTTTTGGCGGCGTCCGGTCAGCCTGGAAGCCAGGTCCTTATTGCGTGTTGTGATGATGATCGACCCGTTTCGACTCTGTGGTAGGAAGTCTGCAAATGGTTTCCTGTTGCATACGTTGTCGCTACTGTAGAATACATTGCGGTCGTCAGCGCTGTCAAGGATTATGATCCATCTGCCGTTCCGCTCGTTGGACAGCCAGCCGTAGACAAGCTGTGGGATGTCGGCCCCGGGCTGGTTTCGGCCTGGTAGCTTGACGTTGTCGGCAATCTTTCTGAAACCCTCTTCGACACGCGCCTGCGTGCCGGCGTGGACCCAAAATACCCATCTGTCAAGATGCCCCGCGGCGATCCGATGCGCATATTCAATGGCCAACTGCGATTTGCCGACACCGCCCAGGCCCACGAGGGCCACACGGCCGGCCAGCTCGAAACAGCGCTCGTCGATTTGATCGAGAATGTCTCCACGGTTGACGAAATCGGGGTCGCGGGAGAAGGGGATGGTCGCGAAGGGAATCGGCGGCGTTTCCCGTCTTTCTGAGATCTGAACATTAGTGGGGCATCCCATCGGCTCTGCACGGTGCCACGGTAATCTTACCCGGCGGGGGGAACTCGATCGACCCATAATTGTACCCTACCTGGAGACCATGGTGGTTGGACCCGAAAGACGCAGACATTTGTGCTATCGTTGGCGATCGAGTCGATTGATTGTCTATATACAGTTACAGTACTGTAGAACAGTCAGCTGTTGGTATGATGTTTCGCTGTCAGGGTGGTTTTGCGGCTGAACTTCTTCAGTCTCAGCTGCCCTCCAGCCACAGCCAGTGTGGCGTAGCGTAGCTAACGACTCAGACACCGACGACCACACAGCGTCAGATCACCGCCGCATATATATGGCTCCGCAAAACTACTTATATGACTCTCGGGTTGTCCTCTTTTAGCCAACGCTATGTATATAATCACATTCTTAGTTATCCCTAAGCGCCCAGGTCGGTCATGCGTTTCCTGTTTGATTGGCGCCGAAAATGGCTAGTGGATATTGTGCCGCCATGTCTCAGCTGCGGCCATTTTCGCAGCGCGCTGGTCGCCCTACAAAGTTGGTTGCCGGCGCACCGTGTGGTCCTCAGTTCCCCTGGCACTGTCCGTGTTGGATAATCTTTCAACATTGAAATATCTGGACACTGAATTCGGTCTCTACTGTAACGACCTCCGAGGTTGAAGACTTGCCATTGCTCTAATCGGAGCAGGGGTCTAGTTACAGGGGTCTCCGGCCGCGAAGCAGGGAACCTTGAGGGACCTGCAGGGTCCGCTCACGGGCCGCGGCAAGCTGTCAACCAACAGACGCCTCGCGTGACACAATCACCAAACTCGAGGCCAAGAAATCCCGAGACCCTGGAACCTTTGACGGGGGAGCCTAAACTTTCCTCCTTTGTCCTTTTTTTTCTTTTCTTTTTTTTCCTGTTCCGGAGCCCAGAGTAATGCGAGACTGTGAAAGAGCGACGACAACAAATCACGAATCCACACCGATCGACACGCGAAGACACGGATACCCCGCGAGCCCAACCATCTGCCATCACAAAACACAAGCCATGCATCCATCAACCCTGTAACCACCGAACCGAACTCCAGATTCCACAATTACACCCATCCCAACCCAAAACGAACACCACAACGCCACAACCAACTCTCGTGACCGACCAAACCCCCTCGAATGGGCATCACCCAAAGCAAACCCCCTCCCGACCCGGGGGGCCTCGACAGCGGACTCGGCCTCTCCCCCTCCCACCGCCGCCGCACCACCACCACCTCCTCCTTCACCATCCCCACCCGAACCAGCACCAACACGACCACCAGTACCATCACCGGCAGCACCACCACAAACAACACCTCCAAACCCACCCCCAAACCAAAACCAAAACCAAAACCCAAACCCAAATCCCGACAAACCTACCCCCCACCCCAATCCCAATCCCAACCACAGTCCCATCTTCAACCACAACCCGCCGCCTCCCGCGTCTTCTCCTTCCAACAGGGCTCCGAACGCGCTCAGAACCGCAGGCTGCTGGCTGCGACCGAGGCGTCGCCTTTGCTGGGGCGGTTTCGCGCTGTGCCTAGGTCTAGTGCTGTGGGTGTGGCTGCCGGGGGTGGGGGTGGAGGTGTACGTGTGGTGTGGGGGGAGGGGGTGGGAGGGTGGTGGGTATTCTGGGTTATGGTTATGGAGGGGATGGGGGTTGGGGGTGGGTGGCATACCCAACAATAAAAAACGAAAACAAGATCTTAAGAACCGACTTCATAGGAAAGGTACTAAAAGGGGAAAAAGATAGCCAAGTGGGCACGTAATGCCTGACGACGAGAAATGTAAATTCGAAGCATATAAACAAGAGAAGAAAAGCCGAAGAATTACAACCAGCA